CTGCTATCGGATATAGAGACCCTTCAAGGACCTGCAGTTCAAAAAAGCACCCCTCCGATTGTTACATTTGTGATTGACATGACATTGACCAATCAGATGAAAGGAAGAAAAATAAGGTCAAAATTTGTACTTGTAACTTGCAGGGGTTTTTTTGGTCCACACACAAATCTTTTTTTACGCACATACAAATCTTTTTTTTTTTTTTTAAAACACACACACAAATTCTTTTTACACATACGAAACTGATTTACAAGTACAAAATATTTGACCACATTATGAGCCCATAGTTTTCCTTCTCTCACCCCAACCGGTCGCAGCAGATGGCCGCCCCTCCATGAGCCTGGTTCTGTCGAAGGTTTCTTCCTGTTAAAAGGGAGCCAAAGTGCTTGCTCATAGGGGGTCATATAATTGTTGGACTTTTCTCTGTATCTACTGTACAATATAAAGCGCCTTGAGGCGATTTTTGTTGTGATTCGGCGCTATATAAATAAAACTGAATTGAATTGAACTAATATGTGCAGAAAAAGGAAGACTAAAAGTCTCTATTAAGACTTTTGTGATCTGCGGCTCAGGGAGTAGAGCGGGTCATCTACCAATCGGTGGATCAATACCTGGCTCAATGCATCCTTTTATTTTTTTTTTATTTATGCCCCAAGCGTGAGTGTGTGTGTGTGTGTGTGAGAATGTTGGACAAAGCACTTAGGTATAGATGAAACTATGAATGAACATGCTTGGTGTTTGGTGAATAAGACTTGTAGTAACAAAAAGAAAACCCTTTTGAGTTTTCTTGAGTAGACAAGCACCACAAAAGTCAATTTAAATACACACAAAATAAGTGTGCATGTGAAATTCAGCCTTGGATTCATGAAGCATGCACATTACTACAGTGTGCATGTTAGCAAATAGCTTGACATGATTGAATCCCTTATTGTTATTTACTGAATTTTAACCACATTTTGCTTTACAGTATTTTGGGAAACCATAAATTCTGCACCACTTCCAGCTGCTGCTGTCGGCCTCATCGTAACCACTTGCACTTGTGCGTCTGCTATGCATGCTGGATTTGGTTCAACTTGAATTTCACCGTGGTGATGAGGCTGAAGTAACAGGAAGCCAAAGCTGTGTGAGCAGGGAGGGTGGTGAGCGAAGCTTTGCTTCTGGAGTGGCGAAAACACAGTGGCACACACCACAGCTCAGGTTGTGTGGGCCAAATGTTCTCCGTCAGCAGCTGCATGAAGTTACACTAGTGCTGACAGTCTGACTGTCTTTTTTTTTTTTTAATGGGTGGAGTTGAAGAATTTTATGATCAAACCTTCTAGTTCTGTGGGTAATATTGGGTAAGGTTTAGTGCAGTGTAGTGAAAACAGGTTATGTTTCTTGTGTCAACACAGCAGCTGAGAACCGACCTTTAAAGCAGACCTGCAGTATCTGGTACCAAGACTTTAAGATTTAACACAGACGGCCACAGCAATCCAATACACTGAGCATGTGCAAGCCATTTGCTTACCATCTAATACAACACATCCCAGACCTTAATGTGAGCCACTGATACAAAATGAGCAACTTTATTGCTTAAGCTATAGGCAAAAACTCCTCACTTTGCAGGACACTGGTGTTTTTCCAAGCACTTTGCTGAAGTCCACGAGGGAATCCAAAGTGTCTTGGCTTGTTGCTGGAGTTCCAATCACCTGTGGAAGATGGAGACTTTAGCAGCTTTTGTTGCAATAGTGCAATTCTAATAATACAGGGTTTGCCCAAGTTATAGTAATTCTATAACTATAGTAAAGTTAAACAAAGATCACTATACTATCGTAACTACAACATAGGCTACTTATAGTAATCCTATAAATACTTGTGTGCCTGCATGCCACTATGTGCATTATGATGTACAATACACAAAAAACTCAGACAGATCCTGTTAGTAAGTCTTATTGTTCTTGCAAACAGGTTTCAGCTATATGATCCAGTTATACATGATATATATGTATAAATGTGTTATATTACTTCCTGGTATTTGAAGATGTTTATTTGTGTTGTATCTTCTTAAATAAAGAAAATGAGCATGCTAATAATTATTCTTTTCTTAAGACCCTACCTCTACCAGCTTCATCATAGCAACTGGGTTGAAGAAGTGAAGGCCACCGAATCTGTCTTGCCTGTTGGTGGAACTGGCGATGTCACAGATAGACAGCGAGGACGTGTTACTGGCAAAGATGGTGTGCCTAAAGAGAGAAATTAACACATATCACAGACATCAGTTAATAAAGCAGAAAAGTGCCTTTTTATTGCCTTTAACAAGGCCATCATCCACTTACTTGACTTACTTGATCTGTAACATGGTCACTACAAGAAAGGCAAGCAGGGTCTGGGCGTGTTGCCTGTTGGTGTCCATTATGTAAATTACTGCCATCTTGTGGCTACAGCTGGATACTGTCTCTGGACACCGGCTTGACTACAGGCCATTGGAGTCTACAGTTTGTCATTTTTTGAGCACTTTCAAGTCCTCTTAACAAAAGTAGACCCTGGCAAGGTGGGAGACAAGTATTTTTTGACTGATTACACAGTGTGGATAAACAATCAGCTGTCTGTGAAGTTACTCCTGCTTCTTACACTAATGGAGAATATTTTTCTCTTAATTTTTATACTTTATTTAAAACCTGCTAATAATATTTACAACATTTTATTTATAGCGGGGTGTATCTTTATAAGGTGGTACTGCTGCTTTTCCTAAAGCATACATCTGAATAATTCCCCCCTTACTGGCCGTGGTAAGTTAATGGTAAACACTTTAATGATCACTATCCTACAAGTCTTTCTGACTGTGCCAAAAGGTGTTCACATTCAGGCAGAGTGTGCAAGCTGATGCGGCACTCTGAGAGATAAGTCAGCATAGAAAAGACAGGCAGCACACAATCATGAAAAAGTCTGGGAACACAATCTTAAATCAGTCTGGTCCAATTTGTTTTGCTGGATCTGGGTGGGAGGTGTCATCAGGTTTGCTTGCGTAATTGCCTTTGGGACTTGAAAATAGATCCAAACTGGCTATATATTTAATTTAAAAAATAAATGCCATGAAAGTACATTTGTGCCACCAAAAGTCTTCATACGTGCATACACTACTTGTCATTTCTTTAAGAGGTCTTCAGGAATAGCTCTCTAGGCTTCTTGAAGGAAACTCAAAACTCATCTTTGGAGGTTTGCTGCCTTTTGTTCTGTACTCTGTAAAGAAGATTCCCACACTGCTTCAGTAATGTTGAAGTTCTGGCTCCAGGAAGGCCAATTCATGACTGATAGTTGCTTTTTTATCTAAGTACACTTTTACCTTGTTGACAGTGTGCTGAGATTTTTGACAATATCTCCAACACCACTGGCTAAAATGCAAATCATGACCTCTCCGATCTTGAGGTCAAAGACCTTATAGTATGAATCTGAAAACCCTACGTCTCCTTGATCGTGGGTTCACAGGGTTAGTTGAACACCAGACAGAGTTCAATAAATGACAGGAAAGTCTGGCTCCTTGGAAGCAACATATAAAGAAATGAGAGGTGGCTCAAGACTTTTGCACATTATTGTATGTTAGGTGATCTAAGCCAAGAGCTAAAAGCTTTACACTTTACACAAATAAACAGAACTGAAGTAGATCTTACGATGGTGCCAACTTGTCGAGCCTACTGAAAAGATCCTGCTTGATCTTTAGATTTTCAACAATGGCCTCCACCACAAGATCCGAGCCCTGAATGGTAGATTCAGCATCTGTCGAGGTCGACACCTTCTGCACAATTTTCTTGATGAACTCTTCACCTGCCTGAAACAAACCAAACAACATTTTTAAGAAACTGCTCAAATTTCATGGTGTAGCTGATATTGCTGCTCATTTTGTCAGTAAATTTACAGCCTCTCACTTCTGGCTTATTGGAAAACTTCTTCTTCGCCACTCGTTTAAGGCTCCCTTCAATTAATTTGATGGACTTTTTGAGGATTTCGTCAGACGTGTCCACCAGTGTCACAGAGTGGCCCGTTGATGCTGCAACCTTAAAGAAAGAAAACATTTCAAGATTGTTCCAAACGCAGCCACCTATGGGGGAATCGGTTTTGGTTGAATCCGACACATTCAAACTCTTTGTGTGTTACACCTGCCAACTAGACCCAAATATAAAGTTCACTTAATGGCCACCAGGATCCTTTATATGGTAACTTTAGTGACCTTGATGTGTAACATAAAAAGGAAAAATCCTGGAAAACTAGCACCAAATTACATATACAGAATCTAAAAGAAAAGTGATCAAACAAAAACGTAACAGGGTCTTTGCATGCTCTCCACCAAGTTGCATCTGTCTAAACCAGGGGTCGGCAACATGCGGCTCTTTAGTCTTTATTTTGCGGCTCCGGGTGGTTTGGGAAAATAAATTAGAAGTATTTAGCTGAAGTGTATTTTATTTGTGTTTAGTTCTTTTTTTAACTTGTAGTTCTAAATTTGTTGACATAAGAAGAGAAAATGCTCTCAATTAGGGAGACAGTCAAATGGTTCATTTATGTTTGATGTGTGGTTTACATTTGTGTGCCTGTTAATAAAGTTAGCGCGCTCTAGGGGGCGTATGCGTTCATCAACATGGCCGAAGGCTGATGTGTGTTTATTCCTCCCTAAATATCGTCGACGAAGTTTGCCATGCACGTCAGATTTTCCTGCGCATTTTCATACCTCTGCCAACAAAATTGGAAGATTATTGTGATTTTGAAATATAAAAATAAAATTATATCTTATTATTTTCTTCATCGCTCAAAATAAGCGTCACACTCGCGGAAGCCGGTGTACCCGCCGAAACGCTGTGCATTTATCGAGACTTTCCACCTCATGTAGGCCAATTATGGATCTTCGGATCCACATTATGTCAGCAGCTCCACCGTGAACTTTGTTCAAAACAAACACGGCTCACGCCCCACAGATGACAGCTTACAGTCCTGCGTGAAGATGAATGCCCAATGTAAACGCTGTGCACAGAGGTTCGGGACCATAAGTCTTATTGTAAACATATCACGGCAGACCCGACGATGTTTGCATGAACATGCTTTTCAGCATCTCTTTATTGACCGCTTTTCACACACGGTTGCTGTACGCATACAGCCGGTGTTGTGCCAAAAAGTGATTGTCTGCCAAAAAGTGATTTCCGGTATTTGCCAAAAAGTGATTGCTCGTATTTAAACTGCTATAAGTAACTTGTTGGGCTATAATATGTGAAACATATGTTAAATGCATCCCTCATGGATGGCATAAAGTCATATTGAGCCACAAACACCATTCGTGTAACAAGGTAGAAGCCGCAATCAGTTTTTGGCAGTGACTTTTATATAACCTTTATTTATGCAGTTAAAAAAATCTCATTAACATTAAAAATGTATTTTGTCAGAGTAAGCTGGCCAAGAGGACAGCAGAAATGGCAGCAAATATGACAATAGTCCTGTAAAAATATTTTAAACGAGGATAAAGGACCGGATTGGTTATAATGTAAGTACAATAACACAGAGCTGTAAAGATACTTGAAAAAACATAATTTTTTAATTCTATATATAACCCCTTTGTAAACGCTGTTCACCGAAGTCTATTTACCAACTTACATAAATATATTACACATAAAAAATACACGGAAACATTGGAAATCAGTTTTTGGCAGGCAATCACTTTTTGGCACAACACCGGCTGTCGCTTTTCAGCTCACAGCCCGACAACACAACAGCAGAGAGAGCAGACTTTAAGGTGGCGAGGCGTGATTGCGGGTGCCGCTCAGGTGCGTCCGACTCCCCTGCAGCGGTGCTGCAGACCAGGCCCCGCCACACACATTAACCAGGTAAAATACATATTTAGGCAGAATTTTGCAAATATCTATTTTTTAGCAGCATAGTGCTTTTTTTCAAATTATTTTTTAAAAGTCAGGTCAAGGCTCCAAAAGCCCAAAGGCGATATAAGGCTGGCGGCTCACAACAGTTTTTGTTTGCTACATGGATCATTTTATGATTGGCCTTAACCCATTGAACCAGCAGCTTAGCTAAACACGGACCAGACTCCTCCTTTTTCGCTTACTCACTTGTGCAATCCCCGCACCCATCTGTCCACCTCCGATGATCGTTACATTTTTAATAACAACATTTCGGACAGCTGAAGACGAGAAGCCTCTGACGATCTGAGGAGCTGCGAAAGCCATGTTGACCGGTGTCCGCTCGGGTCCAAAGTGAAGGACACACTAATATCAGTGCACAGGAGCCCCCTAGCTGGACTAATGAGATCCGTCTGCACCGCCGCCATCTTGCTCCGGGGTCAGACTGTGGATTTCAGAAGTTAGATGTCAAACTTTTGTGCGTTTGCTGGTGGTTTTTTTTAAATAAAAAAAGAAATGCGAAACCTAAGCAACAGTTAATACATTTCACAAGTCTATAGAGTATCTAAGCACATTTTAGTCTTCAATTAGATTTATTAGGGTGAGTAACCCATTACAGTAAGTAACGATCATTTCTGTTAAGTGACACACACACGCACGCACACAAAACTGCCAGTCCGCCATTCATTTTTATTTATTTTTTCTATTTATTTTTTTTTGTTAATTATTTTCCAAATTAATTCGGAAATTGTGAGTTAATGACTCAAAATTTCGAATTAGGTATCCTATTCAACTAGCTAGAGACACTGTAATTCCAAGGAACTTTGTAAATCGAAATTTTGACATAAAATTTAAAACTTTTGACTTAAATTTCAACCATATTAATTCAAGATTAAAAAAAAAAAAAATTAGGGGTGTTTTCTTGTTGGAAACGTGCCTCCGTTTAAAGCTGCATTATGCCATAAAATTAACTGTGTATTTTAATTAAAGTTATGTCAGAAAAAAATATTGAAAATTATATTGTGTTAATCAATAATAGCAATTGTCCCTGACTAATATGGCGACTGTGTTAACGCATCCTTCCAAAGAGATGTGCGGTAAGCGGAAGTGCTGGCGGTCACGTGATCACAGCCGGTTCCGCTTGCAATTGTGGAGTTGTACTACTGCCATCTTCTGGGTTTGATTACATTAGAAACGATCTCGGTCTGTATCATTCATTCTTAATTTCTACATGTTGTTTTATCAGTTTATGGGTTAAATTTCTCAATTTATGCAAACGAAAAACACAAAAGAAGGCACCAGCTAGCAATTTAATATGTAATGAACTCTCACATTGTGTTTTCCTGAGTCCAGAGTTTGTGGTTTTCGAACAAACAGTCCTTATACCCGACCTTTTTCAGTAGAATGTGTGTATGTGTGTGTGTTTTTCTATTTTTGTTAAGCCAGCTAACACTCACCTATGTATCATTAAATGATAAAAAAAAAAAACAGCATCTAACTTATTCAACAAACCAGTGTTATAGCTACATGTAATAGACGACTTATTAAAAATACATTTTAAATTGGTTGTCTCCTAAGTTTAGGCACTGTTACTAACAATACATTTTTTTTTCCATTTCTTTAGCTGAATCTATAAAAAATGGAAAAGGTAAAAGAGTTTGACAAACATTAGAAATAGTATTTTCCATCAATAAGGTGATTCCCAAAGAGCCATTAGCTTAAAACTTGATATATTGTAGCATGGTGTGCAGTGTATTCTTTAAAAAAAATAAATAAGGAAAATGAACACGCTGAGGACAAACTGACAAACAAATAAAGCAGCAGGTCTAAAAAACATCTGATGAACAGTATCTGAAAGTCATGTTTTTAAGAAACAGCAAACAAATCCAGCTAAGACCTGACACAGGAGAGATGGATGCAGCACATCATATTTCATCCACTGTTTGCCATAGTCTCATCAGAAATGTTGTCAGTGGAAAGCTGGTTGTTGAGAAGCCATTCTTATGAAATATAAACAAAGGAAATAGGCTCGCGTATGCCAAATCACACCAGAACTGGACTGAAAATCAGTGGTAACAAATTTGAAATAATTAGTTCAAACCGTCACCGTACATCTCTTTTGTCAAAAGAGATGTACAAGTTTACAGAGAATGGAACAAAAGGCAAAAACATCCAAAGAAGAGCTCTGAATGTCGTTCAAGGAGCCTGGAGAAGACTGGTGAAGACTACTTAAAGAAATAACAAGAAAGCTGCCTAAGAGAGTTCAGACTGTGTTGAAGAATAAATGTGGTCCTGTTAATTATTGACTTTCAAGAATGCTAGAATTGTACATATTACATTATCACATATAAACAGCTGTTCCATGTACATTCTTTTTACACCTTTCATTAAATCTTTGCATCCATTTCCCTGCCAAAATATAATGAAATGGGGGGTGGCTCAAGACTTTTGCACATTGCTTTATGCTTGCTAATTTCTATGATGCAAATCAAATCATACAATAAAAGGATAAATATTAATACAGTTATTATCTTATGGCGTTTAAAATTAGAGTCATCTCGCAACACTGACCTTATTTAAATATTTTTTTAAATGAGATAAGCCATCACTTAGCACTGCAGTCTCAATATCAGTTATTTTCAAATTTCTGTTCACTCAGCAACAGCTTAAATCATCCACATAATCCAGATGGTAATGAAAAAATAAATTATCTGGGATTTCAGTCAAACAGGAGCACCCTTCTCTAATAAAAAATATGTCTATAAACTTCCTAAATATTTAGGTCTCTCCAGGAGAATAAGATCAAAATATTTTCTACTTTTTGTGAAGTCCTTCATCAGAGTTTCCTTGTTGCAGGACGTCAGTTTCACTGTTGCGAGCAGTCACGCACACAGTGAATGGGCAAGGTGCTAGTGTCAGTCCGAAGCGTCCGTGCAGGGGAGGTGGACGCTTTCCCTCTGGGAGCCTGAATTTGAAGGCCTGCAGTAAGCTGGTCACCATCAGAAACAGCTCCATCTTTGCCAGCTGTTCACCCATGCATACCCTGCGACCTGACACAAAACAGTGAAATCAAATGTATGGATCAGTGTTTATGTTTCAGTCACATGGATCATATAAGTAAGAAGGCATACCAATCCCAAATGGTATGAAGCACTCTTTCCTGAGCAGCTTTCCCTCATTGTCCAAGAAGCGTTCTGGGTTAAAACTGTCTGCATCATCCCACACAGTGGGATCTCTATGGACAGACCACAGGTTGGGCAAAATGACAGTCCCTTTAGGAATAGTGTAGCCTCTAAACTCTGAAAAAGAAAAGAAAAACACTTTGTTTAGAGCTTGGGAATTAGACAAATTTGGCAACAGGCATCTGCTAGGGTGGATCCAGGGTGCTTGAACAGTTATGTGCAGATCTGTATGAAGGTTATGTGGAGGTTAAGGGTCACAGTTACTGTTTACCTGTTGTTTGTGAGGCCATGTGAGGAATAGCCAGGGGAACTGCCACAGTCATTCTCTGCACTTCCATGATGGTGGCTTCAGTAAAAGGCAAACTTCCCTTATCAGTCAGAAACGGCACCCGATCTTTGCCCACTACGTCATCAATCTCTGCATGGACCTTGTCTTGAATCAACACAGCAGGAGAAAGGGAGGATTAAGGATGAAGTCCACATCACATCAAACCAGGAAAAAAAACGGTCTGATTCCGGAGAACTTGAACTAAAATGCAGCAGCGAATGCATATTTTTATGTGCCAATCTATGTGCACGTGCAACAATTGGAGAAGTGGTTAAATACACAAGGAGGCCAGACATGTTCATGTATTGAAACCAAGAAGCGTCCCAGACGTGGGTTCCCACAGAAGATTCCCAATTCCCCCCACATAAAAGTTTGTTTGGCAACCTAAAATTTAGCCTAAAAACCTTTAGGCTAAATTTAACCTAAAATTTAACCTAAAATTTAGTCACAATACTTACATATGTTGCCAATGTGTCAATATCTCAACAGTACACCTAAAAGGTCTAAAAGGTTTTACCTCTGCAATTATGTTCCTGACAAATTGCAGTGTGTCCATACTAGGGGTGGGGGG